AAAAGAACTTGTCAGAGATAAATAAAACTATATGAGCCAAAGAGGGGAGCAGGATTTAAGAGGTTAGAAAGGATATTAATAGTGGCAACCAGATAATTATTAAAGATAAGGATTGAAACCTGTTCCTGTAGCCAGGCCTGGTGGTGCCCACCTATAATCCCAACACCATGGGAGGCTGAGGCAGGAAGACAGCAAGTTCCGGTCCAGTGCAGGCAACTCAGGAAACCCTGTCTAACAATGGGGATGTAGCTCAGTGCTGAGACCCTAAACTCAGTCCCCAGTTCTGAGCAAAAAGTCCCCTCGTGACTGTAGTGCTCAGTGACTGTAGGATGACATCCTGTCCCGATGGCCAGAGGTAAATGCAGACATAAGGAAGCAGAAACAAGACCAGAGACGGTGTTTTCGTCCTTTCATAAACACCACAGCAGGTTACCCATGGGCTGCTCAAGGAGAGGAGCACCCCAAGGGGGCAGGAGTGTTTTTGTTTATAGGCTCTAAGGAGAAAGCCGGTACTGAGAGCGGCCGAGGAGATGGAGAGAAGGAAGGATGGCAGGACAAGAGCCTTGAGGAACGGAGGGCAGAGGAGAGCCAGTGCACAGAGGGGCTGGAGCTGCAGGAGAGCTCAGCCATCCTCAGAGGCGTGCAAGGACGCAACCGTCCTGAGCGGAAAAGGGCAGGCCTTTGAGGGGAGGCGGCCACCCCATACATTATTAGGCTCTAGGCCAGGGATTTAGCTCAGTGGTTCCACCGCCTGCTTCACAAGCACAAGGAGGTGAGGTCGATCCCTGGTGCTGGAAGAAAATATATATATTATGCTCTGACAATATCCCTTTCGCCGTGTCTTTGCCTCCACGCATTGTTGTCGTTTTTTATTGCGTGCCCATTGAGATGCCCGCCTGAATTTTGGAAAGCTCTGTGAAAAATCATGCGTTTCACAAGAATTGTTTCGATGGATGGCTTGTTTTCTTTAGAAAACTTAGTGGGACCCTAGTTACTTAAAAGTCTCAAGCTTCAAAAGGTTCTTGGGATATTATGCTTTCATTTTCCATAGCTCATTACCGTTTGAGTAATGTCTGCTTGTTCGCCCAGCTGACTTCAGTTTTTAGGAATAAAAGCCAAAGCTTTTCCCGCTCAAATAGTATCTAGGGTGATCAGAGATCCCCACTGCCTGATGTAAAAGTCATGCGTTGTGATTGTCAATCCCATGCGTGCTCTGCGTGGCAGGATGACCTGATGCACTGGCTTAGCTAGGGGTGTGCAGGGTTTTATAGCGTCAACTGTGTAGTTTGTGAAGTTGGGTTTTCAGGGTCAGGCTTCAGCCGCAAAGTCTCGTGGGTGAGGAAAGGATGAAAGGAAGCCAAGTAACATGCCGGAGTGGGCTGAGCCTTCTTTCCTTTCATCCCAGTCCCAGTTCAGCCCCTCTCATCCGGTCTCGTTATTTCCCACATCTTGTTCTACTGAGCTTAAAATCATGACTGGCATGAAGAGGAGGAAAGGGCTGTGGGACTCTCATCAAAAACATTAAAACGGACATGTAGCTCTGTGGCACTGCACCTGCCTGGCAAGTACAAGGCCCTTAGTTCGATCCCCCGTACCAAAAAAATAACAGGTTAGAGAGAAGAGAAAACATTTAACAGCAATTAATAGTTTATAAAATGACTTCATTTATATTATTTTAAATAATCATCTGTATTTTACAAACAAGGAAACAGAGTCTCAGAGATATGAATGCTTTATTTGTCCAGAACCACAACTACTAAATGACAGAACTACAGTTTGAATCTAGATCTTCTGTCCACTCATTCAGTATCCATTGTGCAGAGGACATCATCAAATATTCATAGTTACTCTATTGTTTTTTTTCCTTTAAATGAACCATGATTACATGGTTAGATTTGTAATTATGGGTCTCTCCAAGAAGATTAGTTCTCTGTAAATGTAAACTGCTGTTCTTGTTAATGTTACTGCAACTAAAGCCATGGACCACTAGAGGAATTCATTTAATTCAGCTTAATAAGCACTTGGTATCCGAGGTCAATAAAGCATTGTCTGCACCCTCAGGAAGCAGGTAAACCCTGTACGTAAAGACAGAGATAGAATGGACTGGGACATATTCTCTACTGGACGCGTAACCCAAATGAGGAAGTAATACAGAGCCGTGCGCTTTGAACTCTGTTATACATCAGAGTCCCCTGGATAGCCTGGGATAAAAATGACTGCTGTACCCCACCACCACTTAAGGTTCTTGATTTGGAAGCTGTGGAATGAATTTGAATTTGAAGTCCCAAGAATTTGAATTCCTAAGAATTCTGGGGTTATTAATACCACTGATACAGAGATCATGCTTTCAAAGCTGCTATGACTTCCTTCTGGGAGTGTCAGGGAAGGATTTGTAGACCTGGTAGCCAGGCAAATATTGAAGAATCTAAAGCAGTCTGCCCGGTGAGGCGGACACAGTAACATTTGGGCAGATAAGTAGCAGACATTAAAGGTGGAGGCAGGCAAAACGATAGATAGGGAAACCTAAGAGATTTATTATTTTGCCAAGCGTGATGGCCTATACCTGTAACACCAGCTACTCAGAGAAGATCACAACTTTGAGGCCAGCCTGAGCCACTTTACAAGATTCATGCTCAAAATAAAAAAGGGAGGGAAATACAGCTCAGTAGTAGAATGCTTGCTTGCCTAGCATGCTCGGGAACTAGGTTCAATCACTAATACTACTAGATAAATTAATAAAATACATTTGTTATTGCCACAGTCAAAAGTGGACAATACTGAAAGATGAAGCTAAGCTTAGGCCATGCTTATGCACATGGTCTTTGCCCTGAAGGCCATGTGAAGTCATTGAAGGCCACAGACTCAGATAAAAAGCAATTAATTTTCGTGCCAGTACGAAGGCTTGGGAGGGATTCTCATTTACTACCTAGACATGAAGAAGCTGCTTTGAATGTCTATCGTATTATTCCAAGACTTATCAAAATGCATGTACACAGTGACATCTCTTCAGTCCCTGTGTACTGTGCACATGTGCAAGTCAAATCAAAACTTACTCTTCATCTCTGTGGTCAAGCAGGCAGAGTTGGAGCCACAGTAATAAGTCAGACACCCAGTGTGTCTGCCTGCAGGATGGGAGTTAGGATCCGCATGCCTGGAAATGCACATAGCACTTCATCAGTTTTTTTTGGGGGGGTACTGGAATGGGACTCGGGACCTCGCATTTGCCAGGCTGGCAGTGGAACCACTGAGCTCGATCCCCAGCCCCATTCACCCTTCCTAATCAAATGGACACCATTAAGCGTGGTGAGCAAACCGTATTGAATTTGTCATTAACTATAACTAAATATAATCAATCTTAAATTTCCTCTTTTTAAAAGTTTTCCTTGGAAGAAAAACAAAAACAAAGAGGGCGAGGTATATGGCAACCAACACAATAGTTCCAGTTTTAATTGAATTATGGACTGTGTAATTGTTCAACCTCTACCAGCTGCTCTCAACAATCTCCTAGATTCCTTAGGGAGCTTCTTCTTGACCAGAAATATAAGGTACCTCATCACCAGTAGTACCAGGAAAAAATGTGTTCTCTACCTGTTACCCCAACTCCCCCTTCCCCAGTAACATAATGTAATAGGGGAAAACACCTTCATTTTTGCTTTAAGAGGCAGTCTCTTTCCTTCTGTACATCCCGCGAATTTTCTAAAGCACCTGCAGTCTCAGAGGAACAGCCAACATAAACAGAATGTTATTGCATCAGACAGGTAAGAATAATTTCTCTAATTAGTCATTTGAGATTTCCTTTTTCATTTTGAAACACTGAAATTTACTTTGGTTGACAACAGCCACTGACAGTACCTACGACTGCCCTTCCCTCTGCCTTGCTATGCTGGTATTCTGTGGAAAGCTGCGGAGGCCTCAGTGTAGAGACCTCACTTCACTGTCAACATTGTTCCCACTGAAGTACCTTGGTATTGAAAAATGGATCTGGGTGACGCATTCACCACTTGTCATGGTCACTTTTTTTTTTAGATGAAATGTTTTTTTCTCTGTCCCACCTCCACATTTTGCAGCAAGAGGGGGTTCGTGGTAAACACTCATTTGCATAAGAACATTGTTCTCAGAAGTACAGAGCAAAATATTTTTAGCAAGCTCAATTTTATGAATTAAAGTATAAGTGTGATGGAAGACAGTCCTGGCTTAGCCTTTGATTAAAGAGTTCATCCTATTTATTTTGTTTGAAAACCACCTTCTCTAAAGAAAGATTGATTGGCATCAAAAGTAGTCCCCGTAAATCATACCTATTGGTTTTACATTTGTTTCAGCTTTTCCCATTTTGTGCCTCCTTATATCGTAATTTGCTATCCTGAGAGCTCACCCTGAGCTGGTGTTGGGACCCAGCCTGAAAGGTGTTTCCCTTCAGTCCAGACCAATCTATGCAAGAAGCAGATGGGCTTTCAAACATGGAGCCACGCTCCTCGCCCTTTTTGTGACATAACCCTGGTGTTTCCCATGGAGACCCAGATGCTGCAGGCAAACCTGTGCCAGGTGACAACGTTAGGGACTTTTGCGTGGCCCAGGCAGCATCGGCACAGACCAGGAAGCTGCAGGAAGCTGGGCACGCCTCGACTCGTCTTTCTAACTGACTCAGGACTCATAATGCAGACATATGGCCATCTCCTGGAAACTCTCAAAGTCAGATAATTCTTACATCTTCCTCAAGTAGCAGAAGGGGTGAGAATATCTGCTGGGTGCTTCCTACCTTGGTAGCTGCAGGAGGGCTGCCAGCCCTCTTTTTAATCTACATCTGCTTAAATGCTTCTACATAGAACTTAGGATGCTGCCAGATCACCAGGCAGCCATTTGGGATCTGGTGAGATAGACTTCCTGGACATACATGTTGTGCTCAAGTATCACTTGTGTTTGTTTTTTTCTGGCCAATTTTCGGGAATGCTTTCACTTTATGCTGCTATCTCACTCCCTTTCTCCTCTGGCTTTCCATGCAGTATTCAGTCACATCACTCAAGACGATCCCAGAACTGTGCCGAAGATGTGACTCCCAAAATGAAGACAGATCAGGTAAGTTTTGCTCTTCACCTTTCCTCCTTATCATGACTTAATGTTGAGGGCTCTGGGAAAGCAGTGGGTTGCTCCTACTCTCTGTTTTCTTTTCACTGCATGGTTTTCCACTCACATCCCCTCCCTGCACCTTCAGCAAACAGAGGTTTGGTCATCCACAAGAGGATGCAGCACAAAGAAGCTCTAATAAGGACCCCAATGCATACAAATACACAGAGGAGATCCTCTGGCATCTCCAGACCACAGTATATGCAGCATTTACTGAAAACCCAAGAAACCATTGGTGACAAAATACAATGATGCAGGAGCCAGTGCAGAAATGTTGGATGCATTTCCTACCCATATGGTAGGGCCAGCTTGAGGGAAAATGTTTTGCCAGAGTCTGAAACCCTATCAGGGATGCAACATGATAGAATCTGCAGCCAGGCATACTATAGCAGTTAAGATCAAAGCGGAGCTTTGGAGTTCAGTGGTGTAAACTGAACAGAGAATTATGGCTCACAGACGAAAACCAGCTGCTTCACCTTTCCTGCCTGCACGCCCCTGCCCCTACAAAAAGTACACGTAAGGTTGTTCTCCTTCTGTAAATCAAATTAAGTGTTTCTGCTTTTCTGGGATGGGCAAAAATTAAAGTTAGAAAAGGGTATGGATGGGAATGATATCATGGGTTTAAACTATGAAGTGATGCTTATGTTTTCCAAGTAATTACTCTAAGCGATCACCATTAACCTTGCCAGAACTAGACCTCCTCTGATGGTGATGAAAGTCCTAAGAGCCGTGGTTGTGGGTAGGCTTAAGATAATCCTCTAATTGTGTGTACTATGTTTAAAAATCAGTAGAGGTACCTTACCTATACAGCTACAAGAAGTCTGGGTCTCTCCAAATGAAAGGACTTTTATAAAGTTAGTTTCCTTTTCTTCTGGACTGCTTGTTTTCTTTTGACATTATGCTTAGCTGAGACAGGAATAATAATTAGTCTTTTTTGGTTTGTTTATCTCCGTGTGTGTGTGAAAGTAATCCATCAATATTGTGCACAGAAGACATTTTTAAATTTAAATAACAGTCCTTACTTATCCTTAGGTTTTTTTTTTTATTTCAAAACACTCTAGTTTCTAGAGGGCTTAACAGTGGGTTTTGGCTTAATTATTTCAAAGTTGAACCAGTGACTGTGGTTGGTGACACAGGACACAAAATGCAGTAGAGTGACTGCTGGTCTGAGTGCAGAGCATGAGCATAGGGAGAGGCAAAGAAAACCAGGGGGACTGCTGCGTGATGACCACGATGGGCCGAGGGAGGAAAGCAGAGACCAGGGAGTCGGAAGACAGCTGCTTCCCATAGAATTCAGCGGTTTATCACCCATCATGCCTGAACCTGTGGCTAACTGTCTGTGAAGTAGAGAAGTTTCTTCTAAGCTGGATGTGGGGGCTGACTGCTAGAAGCTCAGGAGTTCAAGGCCAACCCTGAGCAACTGAGTGACACCCTGCCTCAAAATTTACACAAAGAAACTTTTACCAATGAAACTTTTAACCAGCTATCGTTAGAATCAAAACTAGGTGATGTATCTGAAGACACTTGACAGATATGAAATTTTCTTTCTTCTTTAACTGGAGGTAAGGAACAAGAGAGAAAAAAAATACCAACTGCATTTCATTAGTGATAACGTAGGTACTATTAATGTACCAGGTGGTGTTGTATGAACTTTACTTACCTATCGTCCTATGAGTTAGGTACTACTGGAATGTCTATGTTATAGATAGGTAAGCTCAATAAAATGTCTCACCCAGAGTCACATAGCAGTTAAGTTATAGAGCTGGGATTCAGACCCCAGGAAATCTTCCATAGATTTTATTCTCATCTAGTACATGCACTACCTCATGGCCGCAGTAGTTTAACTTTAGTCTGTTGTCCTTTTAAAACTTTTTAAGTCAACATTTTCCACATTAAGGGTTCATTTCTTTTTTCTGTTAAGTAGCTACTCTTAAGTGAATAAACAGAAACTGAGCAGTCATTCTCCCTGAGGCTGGTTTATTCTCTCCTCTTCAGGTCTTGTGACTTCTAACTCTTTCACAATAAGTGATGCTAGATTCTCCTTCTGTGGTGGAGGAAGCATTTAAACTTACCCAGAGCAAAGACGCAGTGCTCGAGGTGGTCAGCCAGATGTAGATTTGACAGGAAATCAATGTACAAGGCCTCTTAATGAAATCACATATATTCCTCCAATTTGATGTCCCATTTGAAGGCCAGAAAACTACATTCTTTTTTAAATTAATTTTATCGGTACATTTGAGGTATACAGTATAATGACATTCATCAGTGGTAATTTGCACCTTTACATAATCCAACTTGGTTCTTATTTTTTCCCCCGTCCCCCTGCCTTCCCTTCCACCCCTCCACCCCTCCCTATGTACAAAGACTTTGTTTCCATTTTTTCTCTTTTTCTCATGTTAATTCCTTCCCATCTTTCCTTTTCCCCCACCCCTCCCACTTCCCCTTCCCCTTTGCACCTTTTCTTCCTATTTCACGTTATCTATCAGACCTTTTAGTCCTTATTTACAGAAAACTATATTCAAACAGATTGAGAATGATTCTAGAAGAAGGAACGTATGGGAAAATTCACCTGTGCACAGCTTCTCTTTATCTGTGGACTTTGGAAGAAATCTTCTGGTAATGTTTGGAAAGAAAAACAAAACAATTTCAGAGCCACTTTCTAAAAGAATGGAAATCAGTCATTGCCATGGGCATCAAGATTAATCCTATCCAGCCTGTCTTTATTGTATCAACCAGCCAAGGGGAGTTGGTCTCAGGGGTGCCAGCAAATTCCTATCTTTTCAAATAGATGGCAGCAGAAAGAACTTTGGCTTCTGAGAAAAATCTGCATCATCTTTAGGACAGGGTACTGTACTTTCAGGAAAATGTCCTCCAAACTTCCTTGTTCCTCACACTTGTCTTTACTTTTCTAGAATACATTAAACACTTTTTTACTTGAGGTAGTTTGTCAGACCCTAACGTCTGTCTTTCTATTAACACGTCTTTAATCAAAATCATTCTTATTTGTTCTCTGACTTACTCATTCATCCGGTGTCTGTTGAGTGTTCGCTAACCCAAACCCCTAGGACGCAGCACAGAAGAAGAGCCTGCCTGTCTTCATGGATCTTACGTTTGAGTGGGGGACAGTCAGAAGGCAAGCCAGCCAGTAAACAGGAGGATCGTTGCTCGGAACTGTATGCAGCAACATGACAGGATAACCCGTGGGAACGAGGAGGGAGGGCTTCAAGGGGTGGCCAGCCTCAGGCATGCTTGTTATCAGGCTCGCTTTCACTGGCTTAGGAGGTCAAGGAACACTAGGACCACCAGCCATCGCCTGTGAACATCACAGAAGACTGATGGTGAGGAACTAGCAAGTGCAAAGTCCCTGGACATGGACTGAGTTTAGCAGTATGAGGAAGTAAAGAAAACCAGTGGAACTGCCGTGTGGTGATCCAGGAGAGGCACGGTCAGGGGGCTGACCGAGGCCACGCTCTCTAGAGAATTCACATTTTCTGCTAAGTGCAATAAACAGCACTGCCAACGAGACTCCTGCTTTCTAAAATCCTATCACAGGTTGGGTATCCCTTATGCAGAATGCCTGGGACCAGAAATGCTTCAGATTTTTGGAGCCTTTTGGTTTTCCAATTTTCAGATTAGGGATATTCAACCTGTACCTAGAGAGAAGCCTCAGCCTGTAGAGTCTTAATTCTCAGTAAGGCAAGGGACTTTAAAAATCATCTAATCTGAGGGGAAAAGGGAAGTGCAAATAATAAATTGATAAAATGTTGACAGCCAATGCATGTGGACGAATGAATGCCGCTATACCATTGTTTGGGGTATTATTTTTAGTTTTGCAGCTCATATATCTATTTTACAAATATATAGGTCATAAAAATGAAAAATTATCTATAAACAAAAAGTTTTCCAGAAGTTTAAAAACTAGTCCGAAGCCAATGAAATCTTTGAAGGTTATTTCCACTGTCCCATCCCTGGGGCCATCTACCCTGTACCCTCTCACTTCAGTGACGAGGGCACCGTCTCGTAACACAGTCCATCCATAAGAGGTTCGCTTTATTATTCAGGCAACAGTCAATATCTCTTGAATTTCCAGCCATCAACCCCAGTTCTTCCTTCGCACCCAGGGTCGTCCCGGGTAGCAATAAAGTGTGCTAATTGTGTGAGGATAGCACACCGTTGTTTCTGTCTTCTCCGGGGTTCACCGTGCCCGCGCAGTTTTTCTCCCCGCACCCGCAGTTTTAAGTGCGTCTTCGTTATTCTTCTTGCTCTCCTGTGTATACGTTGCAGTTTTCCAGCATCCCCGTGACAGTGGATCCCAGAAGTGAGTTTGAGGTCTCCGCCTGTATGGTCTGATCAGAACCGGTCAGCCAGTGGAACAGTTCCTAGGATTTGTCGTGCGCCTTTCCTGCCAGGGTGTGGGCCTGTTCTTTCTGCCTGTTTGCTCAGTATTCTGAGAGGAACAAGAGTGAGAGGTGAGCGAGGCCTCGGCAGCCCCTGGTAGAGGTACAGCCGTCACGTGCTGTCTCGGCATCCTGGGCAGCTCCGGCAGTGAGCCCCAAGGAAGGCAAGGTGCAGTGTCAGAGCCTCAGGAGCCTGCCCTGCATCCTCCAGCAGCACCCCAGAGCTGCTGCCTTTTCCAGGGAGGCCTTGGTTCCTGTTCAAGTCTGCGTTTTCCTCACACAGCAGTGATTTTTCCAACTATTCTCCACCCGTTCCTCTATACTCTGACTGGGCCATTGGGAGAAAAGAGGCTTTGAAAGGAAGGAAGTATGAGGGAACTGGAGACAGCACAAGGTGGCGGGACCGAGAAGTGGGGAGCCCAAGACCACGCTCTGCCTGGGCCTGGAGCTGTGCGGGTGCTGGGAAGGTTCCTGAGTTGTTCCTGAGCTGTTCCATGTACTTACGCACCATGCCGGGTCCTCCGCAAGCAGCTTTCTTATCCTCAAGATAATTCT